CTCAGGCAGCTGGTCTACTCTGTCTTACTGTCAGTGGGCTACAATTTGTGTGTGGACCGGGCCTGAGGCTTGCAGCTTTGCTTCTGCCATTTCTGTTCCTCGTGTCTGTAGATCTCATGTGCCCAAATGGCTGTTCTCTCCTAAGCATTGCTCCTGTGCTGCCCTTCCTTGGGGAGTCCTTGTGCTGCCTCGCTCCCCTGGGGAACAGAATGCCCCCTTTCTACTTTGCAGCATGAGCCCTGTGGTTCTTACTGGAGCTATTGTTCTCAACCCACTGCCCTTTCTGCAGCATTTCTGCCTTTACTGTGTTCAGCCAGAGTGCAGCGTATCTCTTGGAGGAGGTGTCCCAGCATGAATACAGTGTGCTTTACAGACCTGTTGCTCTGCATCCACTTTGCTGTTGGCTGTTTGGGGTGCACATTTAGTTGCTGCAGCCAGAGTATTCTCTTGTCCAGATACTTTCAAGCTAGTGCCCATAGGAAGGGAAGGCCCTGTGACTCCCTGTGCATTGGGCTGTCAGCATTTGTTTGCCAGTCTCTTAGAGCCCCACTAAGGTGGGAACCAAGGAACGATTAGGCACCTGAGGATTAAAATGCCATACAGCCTCCTGGAGCCAGGCAGCAGCAGAGATGGCACTTCTTGATTGGGAGTTTGTGCACTCCTGCAGCTTCTGGGGTGAGGACAGACGAACCTTACCAAAGTGCCATTGCCTCCTTGCCCCACTGTGATAAGGTGGGAGAAGAGCAGGCTCATCCACCAGAACTGGAGTCTACATGCTCATGGCTCCATGCTGAGCTGAATGGCACAGTCCTACTGACAGCCCCCTGGCGGTTCCACCATCTTGTGGAGAGAAGCCAGGCATTGCCAAGCAGCCTGTGGCCCCATGGACTTATCAGAGTTTGAAGTAGCAGCCTCTGAATCTGCATCCTGGCCAGGGAGAACTCACCTGCTCTGTGGTTGAAGGTCTGCTAGGTGAGATGGGCCTGAGCCCTCTGCTGTAATGACCAGCAGCCACAGCACACTGGGTGGCTCTGGCTCTTTGCTCTGCCAAGACTGCTGGCTAGCAGGAAGTTAGACTGGTTGACATCTGTGCCTCTGTCCCCAGGGAATTAGTCTCTGTGCCTCCCATTTCCCCATGCTGTTAAGCACCAAGCTATTAGCTGATGTGTGTCAGTCCTCCAGCCATATGCCAAGTACCTGCTTTCAAGGTCTCTGTGCTCTAGTCCAAGTTCTGAGCTGTCCAGTTGCCTGGCTGTGGGCTACACCAGTCTGCATTCCTGGGAGGGCCTGCACTACAGCAGGAGAGCATGGTCACAAGTACAAACTATGACTGAAAAAGCATCTGCTCCAGCTGTTTGAAAGTCTGCTATAAGCAGGGTTCTGTGCCCACTAGTGGTCTCACTGACTGAGGATGAGTGGGAGCTTAGTGTCTAAGGGATGCCTGATGGGTCGGGGATGGGGACAAGCCCTGTACTCTCTCGGGTGCCTGGGTGTACAAGACCTATGTATTGCTGTAAGAGCAGACCACTCCTCCAGCTCCAGGAGGCAGGCAACAGCGCACAAAACTGCAATGGCTGGCTCTACAGCCAGTGGGTGATGCTAGATTCAGGGTGCATACAGAAAACAGCTCCTTCTCTGCAAGAGGGGAGGTGCTCCTTGGGCAGTAATGATCCTCCCAAACTTCTGTTCACTTGTGGCCTCAGTCTGCTGCCAAGGAGGGTGCTGCAGGCTGGACTTGGCCTGTACAGCTTGGTGTTAGATGTGCTCTTTATCTGGCTTGGAATATATATGTCAGATGCTCACTCTCCCTTGCTTGGTGTGATTTGCTTTTTGTACATTTCTCTTTAAGGAATGCTTGAGGATGTTCCTAAGGGTTCACAGTCCTTTGGCAATATTTGATCAGTGCTTCCTGCACTAGACAGAAGTCGCCTGTTTTCCTAACCAACATTTTAGGGTCCACATTCTGATCACTTTTACCTACTCTAAAATACTGTCCATGACATGCTGGTCATAAGTGAGACAGTTGGTTTGATCAGTGTTGGTCACTTGTGCATTAGTTTGAATTCTCACAAGGCTCATGGTCTGGAATTTACCTGTTTGAAAATGAATTTAGAAGTGTCCAAGTTTTGAGATAGCAAACAACTTTCCCTCCACGAGCTGCTGGATTGTGTCTGAGGGTGGGGGGGGCCTTGGGGCCTGGACAAGTTTCTATGGAATTTACTTTTTTAAAAATTCATTTATATGGCAAAATGTTAAATTTTTTGGATAAGAATAAAATTATTTTGATACCATGTATTCGGTGGCTACCTTGCCCTCATCCTGCCTGCGTTGGGACTAGGCTGCCTCTTACTAGGTCTCCATCAGATTCATGTGAAGGCAGGCAACTGTAGTCTCACCCTCTGCAAACTCAGGGGAGGACCCAGCCCAGTATAAACAGATCAACCACCTCCATTTCCTGTCCTGTCTAGGTTTCCCTACTGGAAATACTCCAAGTGTCTTGGAGGGTACACAGAACCTGTATAGCCTAACACCTACCTTCAGCCCCTGCTCTCCTGCTGCAGCTAGAGGCTGTTGTGGGGGCTCTGCTGTTTAGGGCTCTAAAGCAAGATCTGCTCATGGTTGGGGGCTGAGGTTCTCAGAGGGAAAGATTTCCCAAGCCCAGGGCTTCTGCAGACCTAGCACTCACCACTGGTGGGATCCAGGAGGGTGGAGCAGTGATGGCCAGATGGAGAATCATTACCTGCCATGCAGTCACATGCATCCATCCTCCCACAGCTCCAGGGTAATGTGCCCTGTACATGCACCAGGGCAAGGAGACAGACCCCCTAACCCACTGTCCCTGGGCTTTCTTGCATCAAATTGGAGTAACATAACCCTGCTCCACAGCAACGGTGGCCAGCGTGGGGCCCTCCTTGTCACTGGTGTCAAGGTAACAAGGGTGCCAGGAGCTTAGCCTCTCCTGTCTCCTTGGGTCAGGGGAACTGCAAAAGGGGTTAAGGCTAAGTTGTAGGAGAGCAGCCTCAATCCCTTCCCTCCTGTTCAGGCCAAGTCCATTTTATGGCTGATGAAAAACCAAACTTGTTTTGTTCAGTTCAGGACAGCAGAGGGCCACATCCATTGATGGGGGCAGAGATGTACTATCTGCACTGCTTTCTCACTGCTGAAAAATGGAGCAGCTATACTGCATTCAACAAAGACATTTAGGCTCCCCTGCCTTCCATAGAAACCAGATGAAGTTAGAAGCTTAAATATCTGTGTACTGAAGGGAGAGATGCAACCTTCCTCCTGTGAGCACAGGCCAACCCTGGGCTGCTGGACAAGTGAAGAATCTGCTCCGTTGCAGGTGGGTTCAGAGCAGCAGCTTTCCTCTAACTGTCAGTAACCGATGGAGGGGAGAGCCATTGTATGAGCTGACTTACCTCTGCATGGTAGCTGCTGCTGCTAAAGTGCTAAGCAACTCTGTGTGTGGATACCCTCTCCTGCCCTGTGGCCCCCATGAAGTCAGGGTTGGGCCCCAGGACAGCAGTCCTCTAAAGTACAATGTGAGTTTAGACTAAAGCCCTCAGACCATGATCGAGACAAAGACTAGGGGCTGGATCTGTGCCCCAAGCTCTCCAAAGACACATACAGGGCTGCAAGGGATCAGGAGAGTCCTACCTCCTTCCCTTAGCAGTCACTGTTCAACCCTTCCCCCAGCCAGCATCTAGAAACCCTGCACCAAGCTGGCCTGCAGCTTTGACTCTTACCAATGCCTTTGATTCAACTCATATCAAACTGAGCAGCATCAGATTTAACACCACGCTGAGTGAAAAGGTCACATTAAAGGTTATAAATTATCATGATTAAAAAAAAACAACCCATCTGTGACTTGCCCTTCAGACAGACCATAACTCAGACAATAATTTAAATGACAAAATACATTGGCTGCCAACAGAATAACCCAACACCAGCTGACTGTGATGTGCTCTGGGTGAGTAGGGCTGTTTGCTCAGCGCAGCATGTATTACTGTGGCATCAAGTTACTGCAGTAGATTCTGGGGTCCTGGCTGCTACCTGCCAGGCACCGTACAGCACTGGCTCCTGCATTGGCAGTAGCTGGTCATGCCTACGCAGGGCACAGCCAGCAGCTTTGGAAATCTGTGCTGGGGAGAGAGCGGCTACTGCCTGCCCAAACCCAGGAACATCCCGAACGCCAGCTCCAGCCAGGAGTCCCAGTTCATCCTGACATGCTTTGGAAGGGCTGGAAAGTGCCATAAGAGGGTCTGTGCTGCGGATAGTAGGAGCTGACACTTGAGACATTGAGGGAATTGGGCTGGCAGCTTGTCACAGTTGTTTTGCCTATAAGGAGAGGCCCTATGGAGGGCTGGGGAGCCAGCCCAGGCTCCTGGATGTGTCACTGTCAGCAAAACCATTTGGCTGGATTCAGGCACTAGGGGCAGGGCAAAAACATGCTAAGGTTCCAGCTGTTACCTAAGAGGCCATTGCTGGAATGGCCTTCCACAACCCCACCCTGACTGCCGAAATTGGATCACCCGCAGGGGCGGGGCACGTTTGCTATGTCCAGCACCTGAAAGCAACAACATAATTCCAGGCGGCAGCATGGGGGGATGCAGTGGGCAGAGATTACAGCTGCCAGCTTGCAATGCTGGGGTTAGTCCCCTCAATCTAGCTGACACGGTCCATGCTAGGATGGGTGGTCTTGGCAGTGCGTTGCCATGACACAATGATCTGCTGGGCTCATTGCGACAGATCATGCATGGCATGGAAATAGGAACGGTCCCCTGAGCTGCTCCCCCCACGCCTGCATGGGGAGGGGGGGGCTCTGCAGTGAGAGAAGTGTCCCTCATTTGTACTTTTGGGAAGGCCTTGCCCTTTCACTAGTAAAAACCTGAGAACGTTTCCCTACATCTGCTGGTGTGAGCCCCCCCTGGCCTCCAAGCAGCCATTGCTGGCCAGCCCTGCTGTATTGTGCAGCCACAGCATCTGTGTTAAGGCACAGCTGAGTCAAGCATTTCATGTAAACACTCAAGACCTTGAAGGAAGACTCTGCTAAGTGAGTCGAGTACCATTAAGCAAGAAGCAGAAATGCTCAATCATTCTAGAGAAACACTGGAGCCAGCCACGCCTTGCTGTCCCAGCTGCCACAGTCTGGGTCATCTCCGTGAAGCTGGAGGCTTCAGTGCCACCTTCAAGGAAGCAGCCTGCTGGAAAACAGAAAGAGAGGAGCCATGAGAGGGGCTGGGTCCTGGGACACTGCTAAAGCCACCCTGGCAGTGACTGAATGACCGTGGCACATTGGCCCAGCCCAGTGCCCTCACTGGCACAGGAAGGGGAGGAACAGCTCAATCACTATAAAACAAAACAAAGCTGACTAGCCTGCTACTCAGCTAGTGAGGGAGCAGGGCATGATAGCCACCTAAACAGGGAGCCTAGCCAGGGAAAGGGAACCCCCCAGGTAACACAACAGCCAATCTGATCGCAGACACACAGAGCTGGGCTCACCTGGGGCTGACTGGATTGACACATCAGGGCAGTAGGTTTGGCAGGCGGAATAGGCAGAGCTGACAATTTGGTCCCATCCATGCTACAGCCATTCAGCTTATCTGCCTTATGCTGGCAAGAGCAAGACAAAAAGCATTCCTTTAATGGCCATTTCAGCTGCAAAAACTGGCAGCTGTTCATGATAGCCACCTAAGCAGGGAGCCTAGCCAGGCAAAGGTAACCCCGCCCAGCCCCACTGGGTAACACAACAGCCAATCTGATCGCAGACACACAGAGCTGGGCTCACCTGGGGCTGACTGGATTGACACATCAGGGCAGTAGGTTTGGCAGGCGGGATAGGCAGAGCTGACAATTTGGTCCCATCCATACTACAGCCATTCAGCTTATCTGCCTTACACTGGCAAGAGCAAGATGAAAAGCATTCCTTTAATGTGCAACGTTATAAATCTTTTGGGATCAGCGTCCATTTCAGCTGCAAAAACTGGCAGCTGTTCTCCCAGAAACTGCTATCAGAATAGGAGAATGGGAAAGAAAAGAAATGAGACCCCCCCCCCCCCCATCCCAGTAAGCCAAGGCAGGGCCTCACTAACGACAGCTGTAATGATTTTTTTCCAGTGCTGGAGGCAGCTGCAGTGCAGCTGGTTGGTTGGCAGAAAGCAGCCCATCGCACAGCGCAGACCATACAGTATCTAGCCCTGGACACTCCTGAGCACCTGGAGCACAGCCTAGGTGAATTCAGGCCATGCCACTGTAGTGGTGTGGATGCAGCACAGCTGACCCCAGCACTCCTGCCTCTGCCCCCCCAGGCCCAGCACACCATGCTGCCCATTCCAAGGGTTGACTCTGGCAGGCACACAACCTCCTGGATAAGGCCCCCCAGCTCTTGTGTGGGCTGCCCCCCATCAGACTGTCCCCCCCACAGCCAGCCATGGGCCCTCAGTACTGGTCGCGGAGCTGGGGGTGGGTGGGGGAAGGGGTGTGTGTGTGCAGATCCCCTACTTGTGAAGTGAGAGCTGAGTGGCTAGTGGGCAGAAAGTCCAGTGTGAGGACCCAGGATGAGACGCACCTGTTTGCTTCTCAGCTCGGGGAGAGGCCGGGTCGGTGGCTTCGGCTTCACCTAACAACAGGGTGCAATAGAGTCAGTCACCCAGTTCCAAACCAACTCCCACCAGGTGCCCCCGACCCCTACCACAGCTCGGTGCTGCCACGTGGGCTCAGCAAAAGCACTGGTGGGGCCAGTGGCACGAGCAGGGGCCACTGGGGCAGGGGCCACACTTTCCATGCAAAGAACAAGGACAATCTGCTGGGAAGGAAGTGCTGTGAGGCTCTGGCCAAGTAACTCAGCCTGCCTGGCTCTGGCTCTGATGGGGCCAAAGGCTATGTGGAAGTGGGGGTGTTTGAATTTTGCTGATTCAGGCTTTCAGCATCATGGAGAAGCCTAACCGGGACCTTGGCTGAGGGGGCTTCTGCACCAGGGGTGGGCAGATGCCCCGGGAGGTGCCAAGGGTGTTTGAGACTCAACCCACCAGCATTGCAGGGCTAGGGGGTGGCCTGTGGACATGCTGCCCCACAAGCCTGTGGACATGACAGCTCCACATGGGGCTGGGTAATGGGGAAGAGAGTTCTGCACTGGGAGGAGCAGTGGGGTCATCACACACCGTCTGGGTACTGCGATTGCAGCACGGGGAGCTGCAAGGAGGCCTGGCAGGAGAGGGCAGGGGGCACCCCCGAGCAGCACATGCTGTCTTGGGGCCTGAAACCAGGCTGAGGATGGCTTCAGGCAGGGAGGTGACATGCTGGGCAGGCCTGCAGGCGACTGATGTCAAGCACCAGCTCCAGTAGGGATGGTGATGCTGCCAGTTAGGGTCCCCGCTAGCACGTGTGCGCGTTCCAAAGCTTGGCGAGAAGCAGCATTACCTCGCCAGCAGCTGGTTTGGGCTTTGCAGAGACCAGAGGGGGAGGTGCCACGTTGGGTTTAACTCCAACCTAATTCAAATGCAGAGAAAAGAAAACAAGCCTAAGGTTTCGCGGTCTTTGAATGAAAATACTGTGTCTCCTGTCAGTTCCCCGGCCAGCAGCCCACAGCAGCCTGCGCTGGGATTCAATGGGGGAGCAGTTACTCACATGGCCACGTTTACACATCTGCAGGGCCATGTCCTGAGGGAGGGACTGGAGTCACAGCACGTGCATTCACTACAGCACTGGCACCCCTCCCCCGCATACTGCTGCCCCCAAGGGAGCTGAGGCCCAGCTACAGGGGCTTTTTCCAAGCAGTTCTTCGGTCTGGCGCTCTACCCAGAGGCAGCATCTCTGCTCTGGAAGCTGCTCATGGCGGATGTTCTGTCTAACACTGTGCGCAGCCCTAGAGCCAGGTGGCGTGGCGAGATGAGGGTATAAGGGTGTCTTGAACTGCACTTAGCGCAGCCTTGCCAGGGACGGAGCTGCCTGTCTGGGTGGGGGTTGCCTTGGGCTTTTGAAAGGCTCTCATTTATTGTGATGCCAGAGGCCACCAAGGCCCAGGAGCACTTTTCCCAAAGCAGTTCAGTTGTCATCGGGCCAGTAAGCAAGACTAAGAGTGACTCTCCAGCTGACAAACTGGAGAAATGGTCTGAAGTAAACAGGATGAAATTCAATAAGGACAAATGCAAAGTGCTCCACTTAGGAAAGAACAATCACAGTTGCACACATACAAAATGGGAAAGGACTGCCTAGGTAGGCATACTGCGGAAAAGGATCTGGGGGTCATAGTGGATCACAAGCTAAATATGAGTCAACAGTGTAATGCTGTCGCAAAAAACGCAAACATCGTTCTGGGATGCATGAGCAGGAATGTTGTAAGCAAGACACAAGAAGTAATTCTTCCACTCTACTCCGCTCTGATTAGGCCTCAACTGGAGTAGTGTGTCCAGTTCTGGGTGCCACATTTCAGGAAAGATGTGGACAAATTGGAGACAATCCAGAGAACAGCAACAGAAATTATTAAAGGTCTAGAAAACATGACCAGTGAGGGAAGATTGAAAAAAAAATTAGGTTTGTTTAGTCTGGAAAAGAGAAGACCAAGGGGGGACATAATAAGAGTTTTCAAGTACATGAAAGGTTGTTACAAGGAGGAGGGAGAAAAATTGTTCTCGTTAACCTCTGAGGATAGAACAAGCAGCAAATGGCTTAAATTGAAGCAAGAGCAGTTTAGGTTGGACATTAGGAAAAACTCCCTGGTAGGGTGGTTAAGCTCTGGAATAAATAGCCTAGGGAAGTTGTGGAATCTTCATCACTGGAGATTTTTAAGAGCAAGCTAGACAAACACCTGTCAGGGATGGTCTAGATAATATGTAGTCCTGCCCTGAGTGCAGGGGACTGGGCTAGAAGACGTCTCAAGGTCCCTTCCAGTCCTACAATTCTGATAGCTGGGTGCTCGCCTGGGAGGAGGCAGACCCAGGGGCTAGTCCCTGCCCCATTGACCCCTCCAGTATTTTATACGAAGCAGAACAGCTTCAACAGGTTAGACTGAGAACCCCCAGCCCCCACTGCCCACAGCCCAGTGGTTAGCGCACTCCCCTGGGAGGGTGAGACCCAGGTTCAGAGCCTATTCTAGATTGAGAGGTTCAAACCTGGGTCTCCTGCCCCACAGGGACATGCTCTAACCATTAGGGTAATGATTATAAAGGGGGGGGCACTAGACCATCTCCTCCTCCAGCCATTTGGTGAATCTAGCCCCTTTTAAAAAAAGTACTGCAGAAGCAGGAAGCCTGCCCAAAGATCAAATGGGGCCACTAGAAGATTGAGATGTTAAAACAGCACTCAAGGAAGACAAAGCTGTTGTGGAGAACCTAAATTAATTCTTTGCATGGGTCTTCACTGCAGAGGATGTGAGGGAGATTCCCAAATCTGAGCCATTCTTTTTTGGTGACAAATCTGAGGAACTGTCCCAGATGGATAGGTCCATCAATGGCTATTAGCCAGGATGGGCAGGGATGGTGTCCCTAGTCTCTGTTTGCCAGAAGCTGGGAATGGGCGACAGGGGATGGATCGCTGGATGATTGCCTGTTCTGTTCCTTCCCTCTGGGGCACCTGGCATTGGCCACTGTCAGAAGACAGGATACTGGGCAAGATGGACCTTTGGTCTGACCCAGTATGGCCGCTCTTATGTTCTTACTGAGGTGTTGATAGAGGAGATTTTGGAACAAATTGATAAATAAAACAGCAGTAAGTCACCAGGACCAGGTGGGATTCACACAAGAGTTCTGAAGGAACTCAGATATGAAATTGCAGAACTACTAAGTGCAATTAGTAACCTATCGCATAAATCAGCCTCCGTATTGGATGACTTGAGGATAGCTAATGTAATGTTGATTTTTAAAACGGCTCCAGAAGCGATCCTGTCAATTACAGGCCGGTAAGACTAACTTCAGTATCAGGCAAATTGGTTGAAACTACAGAGAATTATCAGACACATAGTTGAAAACGATTTGTTGGGGAGGAGTCAATACAGCTTTTATAAAGGGAAAATCATGCCTCCCCAATCTATTAGATTTTTTTGAGGGGATCAACAAACATGTGGACAAGGTGATTCAGTGGACAAAGTGCACTTGGACTTTCAGAAAGCCCTTAACAAGGTTCCTCAACAAAGACTCTTAAGCAAAGTAAGCAGTCATGGGATAAGAGGGAAAGTCCTCTCATGAATCAGAAACTGGTTAAAAGATAGGAAACAAAGGATAGGAATAAATGATCAGTTTACAGAATGGAGAGAGGTAAATAGCAGAGTTCCCCAGGGGTCTGTACTGGGACCAGTGCTGTTCAACATATTCATAAATGATCTGGAAAAAGAGGTAGACAGCAAGGTGGCACAGTTTGCAGTTGACACAAAATTACTCAAGATACTGAAGTCCAAAGCAGACTGAAGAGTTACAAAGAGATCTTACAAACTGGGTGATTGGGCAAAAAAATGGCTGATGAAATTCCATGTTGATAAATGCAAAGTAATGCACATTGGAAAACATATTCCCAACTAAACATACAAAATGATGGGGTCTAAATTAGCTGTTGCCACTCAAGAAAGAGCTCTTGGGTCACTGTGGATAATTCTCCGAAAACATCTGTTCAATGTGCAGCAGCAATCAGAAAAGCTAATAGAATGTTATGAACCATTAGGAAAGGGATAGATAATAAGACAGAAAATATCATAATGCCACTATATAAATCCATGGTACGCCCACACCTTGAATACTGCATGCAGTTCTGGTCTCCCCAAGTCAAAAAATATATATTAGGATTGGAAAGGATAAAGAGAAGGGCTACAAAAATGACTGGGGGTATGGAACAGCTTCCATATGAGGAGAGATTAAAAAGACTGGGACTGTTCATCTTAGAAAAGAGACGACTGAGGGGATAGGAGAGAGGTCTATAAAATCATAAATGGTGCGGAGAAAGGGAATAAGGAAGTGTTATTTACTCCTTCATGTAACACAGGAAATGAATAGGCAGCAGGTTTAAAACACACAAAAGTAAGTACCATTTCCCACAACACACAGTCAACCTGTGGAACTCACTACCAGGGGATGCCTGTGAAGGCCAAAGTATAACTGGGTTAAAAAAAATTAGGTAAATTCATAGAGGATTGGTCCCACAATAGCTATTAGCCAACATGGTTAAGAATGCAACCCATGCTCTCTATGTCCCTAAGTCTCTTACTGCCAGATGGTGGGACTGGATGACAAGGAATGGATCATTAAATAATTGCTATGTTCTGTTAATTCCCTCTGAAGCATCTGGCACTGGCCACTGTCAGAAGACAGGATACTGGGCTAGATGGACCATTGGTCTGTCCCAGTATGGCCATTCTTATGTTCTTATCTAAAGGCTCCTTATGAAGGGAGTTGGAACCACTTTTCCTGTGACCCTTTTAGGAGGTCTTTGGAGATTTTCCCTTCCTGGGAGAGAGCTGACCCGAGGTCAAAGAGGCACTGAATCTGCCCAGAGATTGGTGTACGGGGAGGTGTCCTTCTGATCTGGTTCTGAAGTGGGGCAAAGGGCAGTGCTCCATCATTAGTAGTCTAAACTTCATCTCCTAGTTCTTCCTCACTCTGAATTTAAGGGCCAGACAGAAGTTACACTTCTGAGGGTCATGTAACTCTCCAAGGCAGAGAACACAGTTTGAGTGACCTTCGCTAACTGGGCTTCCCTCCTGGCGAGAGAGGCAGTGTTTGAGGCAGTGTCCAAGGAAGACAAGGCTTCCCAGAGGGAAGGGCGAGGAACAAAACTAAGTCTCTTAACTATTAAACTAAGATAATCTAAACTGAAATATCTAAAACTAAACTAGCAGCTAGGGGAAAAAAGGTATAGCCGTGGCACACACCAAAGGTGGACACATGAAAGCTCCAGCTCAGGCTGAGGTAATTGAGGAAGAACTGAAGGTGGTTCACTCGCACAATCCTATCGTCTCGGTGTGAGGCATGAGGCAGTGTAGCATGCACAGACACACTGCAAATCTCTGCTCAAAGGCACACGGGGCGCATGCCCATCTGAAGTGGAGTACCCACAGGGACACTACTCGAAGAAGAACGCTGTGCTCTCCAGTTGGGGCATCCACAGAAAGTCTATGCTAGAACACAGGCATTTCCACACACAGCTCCCTCCAGCGCTACGTCCCTTCACCACGGAGCACGGTCAACTCTCCGCCACCAGATCTGAGAACAGGAGCACAGAGCAGCCCAAGTGAGCTGTGCAGGGTCACACAGTCAGGGCCACAGCGGTGACTCCAGGCCCCTGGATTCATTGCAGTCAGCTCAGCTGCCATGAGGGGTATTCAGCAGACTGCTGCTAAGAGTGCAGCTGTGACTGTCTCAGGCATTTGACAGCAAAGCAGTAACATCAGACACAGCAGTCCCAGGCCAGTCACTTACCTGCACAGGTTTGGCTGGATATGCTAGCGAACTCTGACAGGCACTACTGGCCACCGCAGGAGGCTGAGAAGGAACAAGTAAAAATTATTTGCTTCTCATCAACCAGTGTGTTTACCCCTCTCCCTGCGAAAAGCGTGACTGGAACCCAAAGCGAACCCAACAGACAGTGTCCTACCTCAAATGGGGAGATCCCCCCCGCACCCAGCCCAGCTCAGTCTGCCCCAAACGGAGAAACATCCGCCCCATCCTGCCATGGCCCAGCCCAACCCACCCCAAGTGAACAGATGCCCACCCCATCCCATCCCGCCATGGCCCAGCACACCCCTTCCTGTGTGGAGGGATGCCCACTTCATCCTGCCATGACCCAACTCAGTCCGAGTAGAGAGACACCCGCTCCATCTTGCCATGACCCAGCCCAACCCGTCCAGAGTGGAGAGATGGCCATCCCATTCCAGCCCACCCCAAGTGAAAAGATGCCCACCCCATCCTAGTCTGCCCAGAATGGACAGACACCCACCCCATCCCACTATCGTCCAGCTCAACCCACCCTAAGTGGAGACACACCCAGTCCAGCTCAGCCCAGCCTGAGTGGAGAGACGCCTACCCAATCCCGCATGGTGCGGCCCAGCCCGCCTTGAGTGATGTTGGGGGCTGACCCAGCATACCCAGCTACTCAGGCCAACGAGCTGCCAGCCCAGAGCAGAGCAGGGTCCATCTAACCCTAATGGACAATCCAGGAATGCCCTGTCATTAGGGTTGGCAGCAGGCAGATGTCTTGCAGGCTCCAGCACCAGCCGTGAGCAACACACAGCCACACTGGGGACACCGGGGTTTGTTGTGACACAAGCGAGAGCCAATAAACACTGCCCAGGTTCAAACCCGTCTGGAAGGTGATTTCTTGCTGGGAGAATTGGAGGAGGCAGCCCTGACACAAGCGGCCAAAATGCCCTGCCCGATCCAGCCAAGAGAATAGCCCTACAGACTGGTAGCCATGGTAATCAGCCTTTGGGGATGCAGAGCATGTTCGGCATATGGAGCTCTCCTTGGAGTTCAGGTGCAGGGTGCTTTGGGGGTCCCTGCCCAGAGTGATGGGGACAGTTAGTGAGGGGATCTGCCCTTCCACTCCCCCAGGAGGCACCAAAGGAAATTTAGTTCATGCAGCTCACCCCTTACCACTTAGTTAATGAACCTCCCCAACTCATGCAGCACCCAGCCAGCCCCTCAGCCATTTCTGCCTGCTGAACTCCCAGTTCATGCCTGCCAGCCCACACAAGCCATGTCCCCCACATCATGTGGACCGTCATCCCAACCTGACTCCAGACACTGCCAAGGCTGCAACCCCATCACCCATACCTATCTCCAGCACCGCCACCATACCCCGCTGCAGCTTCCCTGCCCAGGACTCTTGTTCTGCCCCAGCCCTCTCAGATGGCAGGCACAGAGGAGAGGTGCCCCGGGAGCAGAGAGCATCACTGTCAGCTTTGTGCAGATTCATATTTTGCAAAGTATTTGCAAATATGCAAATTAGCTCATTAAACTACTTTCAAATTTGCAAACAATGAGTGTCTGGCCAGAAATGTCATTGCGAAGGGCAATCCACCAGAGGGCAGGGCCAAACATGGAACTGCACCAAGCTCAGCAGGTGGGTACTAAAGGGAACAGCCATGGGGGGAGGAACTAGAAGCAGAAGAGGTAACCCCGGGACAACTGGGGGGTAATGAGGGTGCTAAAGGAAGCTAGGAGTAGGGGTGCTGGTTGAATGGGGGGCTCTCAGGTCAAACAGCCAACTGCAGTTTCCTTCCTTTTACTGGCCTCCTGCCTATCAGACATGACGGACCAGGCCGGGAGGGTGGGAAGGCCCTCTCTGGCACCTACCTCATCGGTGTGGGGTCTATATGCCCCATCATAGTCCCCCCCTTCCGAGGGTAGATACATTCCTCAAATCCAGTTCTGCCCCGGTTGGAGCTCACCCAGCCCCAGGCTCACCCACTCAGCATGTGCTATGGGGCCTCTCCTGTTGGAAAGTCCTCTTTCTTCCCCACATTTTAACCTGGAGCAAACTAACTGGGGAAATGGGAGCATCTTGGGGAAGCTCAGACACAGCCTGGGCTATAGGGAGATAATACGGCCAAGCTGCGGGACCATCCCCCCAGCTCAAAGAACTGTATCAATCCTTGGCATCCAGCTCCATTGCGGGGCTCTTACAGCACCCAGTTGCCTAGCAATAGCAGAAAGCACCAACTGGAGAAGCCGAGGCGCAGAGGGCCAAGCCTGCATCCCTTAGCCTATCCCTGTGCTCAGATTCACACCATCCTGGGTTTGTTCTCCCCTCCAGCTCTGCAGGAACAGGCTCCTAACCGCGTAACTTGTATGACAGTGCTGCCTTGGTGTGTAACGGGGGCCTTGTGCTGCCTGTGTGGGCGTGGAAATGCAATTCCCACCACTCCAGCAGAGGGCTCTTGGGAAGGACAGTGACGGTCCACTGAAGAGGTTACAAAGGGGTGATAGGAAGCAGCCTGACTCCCCTCTCTACAGCATCATTGCAGGGACACAGTGGCCAGGAGCCCAGAATTCCCCAGTAAAAATCCCCAGCCACGAGAGCTGCCCTCCTGCTCCCCAGGCTGCCTGGGCCACACATACCTCGGGCGGCGGCCTGCTGGGAGTCATGGGCACGTACACAGACCTGGGGCTCTTCAGGTCTGAGGTTGTGGCGATCAGATTTGGGCTGCTGATGTCACAACTCTGAAGCTCATGCCTCACGTTCCTAGTATTGCTTCCCTCTTGAAACAAGGGGTTGGAGAGCCCATTGGTGGTGGTGGTCACAATCCTCCTGAAACACACACACAAAAGAGCCACAGCCATATTTTCCCTCTGGTTTGATTTCACCCAAAGGCCCCCAATTTTGAGGTCTGCTGAACACCTCAATGGCTCTTTGGCAGTGAGGCACAGAACAGCCCAGGATTCACCAGGGTCCTGCTGCCACCTTGCCCTAAAAACGTACTACGTCACAGATGAAGGAGAATAATACACTTTTCAACACTACTCATGGAAAACCATATATCATAGAAAAGATCAGACCTTAAAAGACGGATGTTTATCAAGGACCTCAAAATGTGTCCCAAGGGACTGGAAAGCATAACCAGCCCTGTGTCATCACAGATCATGATGACATCACCATTACATGCTGATTACTGGGCACATTGGGGTTCATTTTCTTCTTTTTTCAGTTTTTAAAAACAAGCCCAGCATTTTAAATCACTTTATTGCAAAAATAACTGAAGCCCACGACAGTTAGTGGACCTGGGTGCTCTTCCTGTTTCTGCCTGAAGTGACTTTGTACCAGCTCAACTCCTCAATTACCTGAGATGTAGAGCTAACAGGTCTGCCTGTCTGTCTATCCCATACTCATCACCTTGGAATCCAGAGACTGTGTATTCTCCAATTTTGGAATGTGGGCAACACATTCTGTAACTCCTCTGAACACGGGTTCTTACTTCTAAAGGGTGTAGTGACCATTTTAATTTTACCAATTAAATGATAGTTTAATTTAGCATTATTTTTCAAAGAGCCGCTGCAAGTAGTGAATTACCTTTCCTAGCTGCAGCACTGGAATGACTTAGTTTTGGGAGGGCGGTAGGGTTGGGGGGAGGGCGGTAGGGTGGGGGGGAGGGCTGTGTTAATTTCTGATGATTTTTTAAATTTCTTTTTAAAAAAGGGGAAATGGGAAAATTAAAATGGGAAAATTAAAATGGATTCTGCTCCAACCCCATCTTGGTCTTTGACTCATCCTGTGCTGCACACAGTCACACAGCTCAGTCACCGGCAGGAGAGATTCATTCATTTATCCTGCACCCAGCTCCTAAATGATTCTTTGGGCAGAGATCAATAGGGAAGTTCCAACACCATTGACAAATTTTCCAGGTTATGAGGGAATGGTCTCATGCAGCTGTTAAAAAGTCACATATATATCAGGTGAGGCATTTCCAGTACAAAAAGAGAAGTATTAATGCTACTTAATTAATGTTACAAGAGTAACAAGAAGGGTTTCTTCAGGTATGTTGGCAACAAGAAGAAAGCCAAGGAATGTGTGGGCCCCTTACTGAATGAGGGAGGCAAACTAGTGACAGAGGATGTGGAAAAAGCTAATGTACTCAATGCTTTTTTTGCCTCTGTTTTCACTAACAAGGTCAGCTCCCAGACTGCTACGCTGGGCATCACAAAATGGGGAAGAGATGGACAGCCCTCTGTGGAGATAGAGGTGGTTAGGGACTATTTAGAAAAGCTGGACGTGCACAAGTCCATGGGGCCGGACGAGTTGCATCCGAGAGTGCTGAAGGAACTGGCGGCTGTGATTGCAGAGCCATTGGCCATTATCTTTGAAAACTCGTGGCGAACCGGGGAAGTCCCGGATGACTGGAAAAAGGCTAATGTAGTGCCAATCTTTAAAAAAGGGAAGAAGGAGGATCCTGGGAACTACAGGCCAGTCAGCCTCACTTCAGTCCCTGGAAAAATCATGGAGCAGGTCCTCAAAGAATCAATCCTGAAGCACTTGCATGAGAGGAAAGTGATCAGGAACAGCCAGCATGGATTCACCAAGGGAAGGTCATGCCTGACTAATCTAATCGCCTTCTATGATGAGATTACTGGTTCTGTGGATGAAGGGAAAGCAGTGGATGTATTGTTTCTTGACTTTAGCAAAGCTTTTGACACGGTCTCCCACAGTATTCTTGTCAGCAAGTTAAGGAAGTATGGGCTGGATGAATCCACTACAAGGTGGGTAGAAAGCTGGCTAGATTGTCGGGCTCAACAGGTAGTTACCAATGGCTCCATGTCTAGTTGGCAGCCGGTATCAAGTGGAGTGCCCCAAGGGTCGGTCCTGGGGCCGGTTTTGTTCAATATCTTCATAAATGATCTGGAGGATGGTGTGGATTGCACTCTCAGCAAATTTGCGGATGATACTAAACTGGGAGGAGTGGTAGATACGCTGGAGGGGAGGGATAGGATACAGAGGGACCTAGACAAATTGGAGGATTGGGCCAAAAGAAATCTGATGAGGTTCAATAAGGATAAGTGCAGGGTCCTGCACTTAGGACGGAAGAACCCAATGCACAGCTACAGACTAGGGACCGAATGGCTAGGCAGCAGTTCTGCGGAAAAGGACCTAGGGGTGACAGTGGACGAGAAGCTGGATATGAGTCAGCAGTGTGCCCTTGTTGCCAAGAAGGCCAATGGCATTTTGGGATGTATAAGTAGGGGCATAGCGAGCAGATCGAGGGACGTGATCGTTCCCCTCTATTCGACATTGGTGAGGCCTCATCTGGAGTACTGTGTCCAGTTTTGGGCCCCACACTTCAAGAAGGATGTGGATAAATTGGAGAGAGTCCAGCGAAGGGCAACAAAAATGATTAGGGGTCTGGAACACATGAGTTATGAGGAGAGGCTGAGGGAGCTGGGATTGTTTAGCCTGCAGAAGAGAAGAATGAGGGGGGATTTGATAGCTGCTTTCAACTACCTGAAAGGGGGTTCCAAAGAGGATGGCTCTAGACTGTTCTCAATGGTAGCAGATGACAGAACGAGGAGTAATGGTCTCAAGCTGCAGTGGGGGAGGTTTAGATTGGATATTAGGAAAAACTTTTTCACTAAGAGGGTGGTGAAACACTGGAATGCGTTACCTAGGGAGGTGGTAGAATCTCCTTCCTTAGAGGTTTTTAAGGTCAGGCTTGACAAAGCCCTGGCTGGGATGATTTAACTGGGAATTGGTCCTGCTTCGAGCAGGGGGTTGGACTAGATGACCTTCTGGGGTCCCTTCCAACCCTTATATTCTATGATTCTATGATTCTATGATACTGTACAAGGCACTGGTAAGCCCTCATCTGGAATCCTGTATACAGTTCGGGTCAGCCATGTTTGAGACAGACGAATCCACACTGGAACTGGTGCAGAGAAGAGCTAATAGGACGATCAGGGGAACAAAGGGCCTATTTTATGAGAGGAGATTACAAGAACGTGGCTTGTTGAGCCTAGCAAAATGCAGGCTGAGAGACTCTGACTGCTCTCTACAAATCCATCAGGGTAAACACCAGGGAGGAGGAAAAGCTACTGAAGCTAAAGGACAGTGTGGGCACAAGTAAAAAAAGAGATAAACTGGCCATGAACAAATTGTGGCTGGAAATGAGAAGAAAAGTTTCTAACCATCAGAGGGTGAGGTTCAGGAACAGCCTCCCAACAGGAGCAGTGGGGGCAAGAAACCGAACTTGTTTGAGAATGGAGCTGGATAAGTTTCTGAAGCGGATGAGATGCTGGAGTTACCTGTGATACCAGGGACTGAACACTATGCCACAGGGGGCCCCTTCCAGCCTTGTGTCCTATATTCTTATATCCCACAGGTTTTGCATGAAACAGCCCCATCAGTTGTATGAACACGCTTAGCTGCTCTGTCCCAAATCTGGATGCAGAATGCTCCCAGGAAGAGGGCACAAAGGGGCTTGTGTGTTGCCATGCAGGGTATGACAGGGTATGTCTCGATTGCTTCCTCATGCCTGACTGGGGAAAAGCCCAAGAGGGTGTGTGCTTGGGACTGCAGTAAGCTCGTCCGCACGGCTGAGTGTCCAGCTGTGAATCACAGGAGCAAACCCAGCCCTGTGCTGCTCACTCGCACTGTCAGTCCTCTCCCTTTCTGGCACATCCTGGCTCTGCCACCTCACAATCTGTAAGTGCTGTGAGCAATAGCAGCGGCAAAGGTGTGGTTGTGCCTTGGGGCGCTGAGAGGCCAGCTGAGAATCCCAAGTGCTTGGCAGACACTCCAGGCATCGAGCTACTGCTTTTATAACAATGGCTACTAACTGCCAATCCTCTGAAGCCCACAGAACCTCCGCCTGCGGATTGTAACCCGATGCCCAGAGGCGCCAGACAGGATCGGGGCCCCACTATGCAGACACTCTACAGTGCACGTGGTCCCAGCCCCAGGAGCCTGTGATGAGGGGACAGGGAGAGGGAGAGGGACACCCTCACAGTCTGTTACACACACACTGGGATATTGCTGCTCCTTCAGATTTACTTCTCATTCCAGTTGTATCTAACTCCCCATTGGCCTGCCCCTCCCAAGAAGCCCTAAAACCCCCAGACGATGTCCAGGCTGGGACCAGAACCCAAGGGCGGGGGCGGGGAGGCCTGCGATTCTAAGCCCTCCTCGTAGTCGTGTAGCAACTTCCCACAAATGGCCTTTGAGCTGGGGCTTCTCAGCTCTGGGGCAGGAAGGAGGGTGAGCATTGGCCCACCTCTTTCTGGTTCAACACGAAGAGGGGCTTTCACCCTCAGAGAAGCTACTGCACCCTCCCACTGCTTCAGGTCAGGGGTGTCACACTTGGCCCAGGCATCGCTCAGGGCACATTGGTGAGAAAATGCAGTTGTGAGTGAACGAGAGCAGCAGAGAACAGAGAGCAGCTCTTTGGCCCTGTGCCCAGCCCCTCCCCAGAACCCTCAATATTCCCCTCCTGCCTAGAGAGGACACTGGCAGGGCCCTGTCAGCACCAGGACCTGCAGCTCCTTGTTTGGTGAGAGCACAGGGACAGGGTCTCATGGCACTGCAGGGAGAGTCCAAACAACTGGGCCCTGCAGGGGGTTGGGAACCATACCACGCTCTCCAGGGGGTGCTCACTTAGCAGGGAGGCCCATCAGAAACTCCTGCTGTCAAACAAGAGTGGACAGGACCTGCACCCACCCCGCTCCTCCAGGGTCCTCCTGAGCAGGCTGGTCAGTGACCAAACACCCACCAGCAGGCAGCAGATGAAGGCGGTGGGGGTGTAGGAAGGAAGAGCCCAGAGGGGCTGGCCCAGCGAGGTCTCCAGAGGGTGGGTGAAGGGGTGGTATTTCAGGGATTCAGGGAATACAGCTTCCCACACCTGTCACTGATCAGAACCCAGAGCAGGGGCTTCGTGAACAACAGCAGCTCCCATGTGATGGCCAGACAGTGGCTCCTCTTGGCACAGGGCTGGGCTTGTCAGTGCAGGTCACAATAACAAAAACCACCGGGACAAATTGACCCGCTTGTCAGCAGCCTCGGCTGAAGGGCTAGGGTTGGATAGGCTATGGGGGAATGAACTCTTCTCTCCCACAGGCCGTAGGGGAGGTGCACAGGGGAAAGCGTGGGGACACTTGCCTGTCAGCACAGGACTCAGACAAGCACCTGGATATCTGGAGCCAAGCACAAGTACTAACGGCCAGTGGACTGGTGTGGAGAGAGTCAACCAACCGTATCGATTCAGTCTGTCCATCCAGCTGTCCAATCAGCCTGTCGCTTGCTCCTTACCATGGAATCTGGCTATTGTGTATCCCAGCAAATCAGAGGAGCTGCCTGCCATGGGGACTGAGCTCTGTGGGAGCACAGTACAGCAGCGGGAGTCTTACCCTTTCTGGAAGTATTTCTTCGCGTTGCCTTTGTAGAACACAAAGCCTCCGATGGTCAGTATGGCTACCAGCACCACCACTGTCAGCACGGCTGCCACAACCATGTTGCTTCCACCTGTCGAGAGCCAGAGAGAGGGATCAGGGAGGGATTCAGTTTGGGGAATTCAGTCACCTATCCCAGCCCAGCCCCTGGTGGGCAGGGCCAGACTGTCCACTGTTTTTCAGTGCTTTGGCCAATCTAAGCAGCTCCTGAAAGGAGTGTGTTACACAGCCTATCAGATGTCACCATCAGGACATTGCTACTGCCTGCAGCCCAGCTTTTTCCTCCAGCAGGTCCACCCCAAACCCTGCCCTCCTGGCCCTAGTGAGCGCTGTACCTGATGCAATCTCTGAAAGCTTCCGCTCGCAGTAGGGCGCAGCCCAGCCGGGCTCACAGTGGCATTCCCGCTTGTGATTGCAGACCTGAAATCCAATCCGGCAGAGTTAGGGACCAGGCAGCAACTCTGACCGTGCTTTACAATGGGAGGGTTTGGGCTCAATACTGCAGCCTCTACCCAGGTCACACTCCCATCAGTTTTAGCAGCAGTTTGGCTTTACTGAGTAGGCATGCAGAATTGGGCGCCTTGTAACTGCTGCATATTTGCTCTGGCCTCAGGATCAGGACCGGTGAATTATACTGACAGGAGAAGCCCTGTTCTCCTGAAGCAGGGTATGAGTAACTCGTGCTGGCATCACCCAGGACTCAGCCCAGACAGTGCCTGTCTGTCTGACATGCAACAGCATGTGATGCTGCTGTGCCCCGTTTGTCGCACTCAGCACCAGCGTCTGGAACAGTCCAGCCGCCCCATCTCAGCACCCGTGAGCAGCTCACAGATGTCCCACCGGGGCAGGGCCTTCCACAATCACAGCTGCTGGAGGAGAGGAAGTTCTGCTGAACTCATTGGCAGACAATGTTCCCTCCCAACTTGGGCCAAATTGCTCCCTGAACCAAAGTGCCCAGCAAAAGCCAGGGCACAAGGCCATTGGAATGTGGCCTGATCTGTTCCTTCAAGGTGGACTTGCTGAGAAAACCAAAGTGCTGCGGGAGCTCTCTCAGGGACAAGGACCCTGTTACCACACAGTGACCACACAGCCCAGCCATGGGTGGCCTGTGACCATGTGCTTTGAGGGAGGCAAATCTTTGATGGCGCGACATGAAAAGAGACATCGTGAGTAGCGCAGACAGACATAGCAAATGGACCCTGTGGGTCTTGGGAACATGACAGGTCGCTGGCTGAAAGGCTGCATTTACCAGCAGATCACAAGAGGAGACATCAGCACCGAGGTACTGCAGACTAAGCACGGGACGTGCAGTGCTACAGGACAGGGAGAGCTGCTCTGAGATCAAAAAGAAAAGGAGTACTTGTGGCACCTTAGAGACTAACCAATTTATTTGAGCATAAGCTTTCGTGAGCTACAGCTCACTTCATCGGATGCATACTGTGGAAAGTGTAGAAGATCTTAGATCAGACACAGAATGGGGTGTGGATGGATAGAGAGGAAGGTCTGTGAAGCACCAAGAACCCATGTGAGATGGTCCCAGGGGTCCATCAGTGCATGGCAGAGGCACACAGCACATTCATGTCTGCTGTGTGCACTCAAAGAAAACATGGGGTGTCTGAGCGAAGACCTGTCAGGAACAATGCTTAGCATCTTTCACCCACACACCTCCCAGCACTCTACAATATAATCAGTGCTCCGATGTTACAGCTGGGGGATCTGAGGGACAGTCGGTCCTGTACAGTCAGAGGACACCCAGGGGATCGTGGCCACACCAGCACCTCTGTGTGATGCCATGCCCTTTCCATGGCCTGAACCTACCCCGTGACCGTTGCACTTTGCAGAGCAGTTTTTGGCACCGTAAATCAGGAGGTCCTGGCAGCGACCGGCATAGCAGACCTGGAATGAGAAGGCACAATGCTTTCAGTACGGTATATACGGTACCTTGCCATCACCCATCCTGCACTCACAGCAATTCAGCAGCTATGTTACCTCCCTGCTCCTGACCTTCCCCTCCTCTCCAGCAGATCCCATGGAAAACCCATCCTTCCCCAGCACCCGCAAAGCCAAGCACACGTCACCAGCGCAGCAGACAAGAATAGCAGCAGCCTGTGCAGGGTGCTCACCATTTCTTCCCCACACTTGGTGCCTGTTGGCACTAGCGCAAGATTCGCCACCACATCAGTTTCTTCCTTGTCAGTGACAGCTGCTTTGCAGGTCACCCCCCCGAGAGACAGGGAGTAGACGCCACCCCCTCCAATGGGGGTCCTGTTCCCACTCAGGCAATGCAGCGTGCCACACTTAATGTCTCTGCGGGAAAAGTAAACGTCAGGAATGAGCGTGCTGGGTCTCATCTCGCCTTAGCATTGGCATGGCCTCAAAGCCTCGCACCCTACAGCCTGTGCCAATGTGGGACAGCTCCTCTGCCTCTTGCCTGGAGGGTGGTCTCAGTGCTAGCAAAAGGTCCTGGCTCAGCAGCCCTTGCCGATGTCTGGGCCCAGCATAGCACCCTCCCACACCTAGGGGCCCCAGCTATGACCTGCAAGAAACCATCTCTAGGGGGAGAGGGGAGCTCAGCACCTGACCAGTTGTGAGGGCAGGGGTGTGAGCAGGCCCAGCTCAGCAGCTCCTGGACAGAGACCACCAATTCCTGTTGCACACACCACCAAAGAGCCGCCTGACAGTTCAGGTCAGCACTGGTGCATCGCACTTGGGCTGGCTCCTTAGTAGTGAAGGGCTCCCTCCCTCTCTCCTTCTGGACCCCACACACTTGGCCAGGCTCCATGGCCATATGCTGGGAGCCAGCGGGGCAGCTCCAAGCTGTGCAGCCTGCACTACCCTGCCAGGATCCTAGCAGGAATTACGGTAAAATGTCCATGTCAGAGACCAGCAGGGGCCCTCAGTAACATCGCTGCCTGAAGCCTGAGCTCTGTGGGGATATCAAAGTAATCTGCCTCCATTGACCCCTGAAACGGACTAACCTTCTCCTCCCAAAAAAAGAGCAGAGAGTTGCAGAGAATGGATTCTTCAAAAAAATCTGAACATTTACACAGATACCTCGCTAAGAAGGGTGTTTCCAGCTTGCAGCATGGAGAGATAGCTCAGACTCCAAGTGAATACTTGGCAGCCACGCCAGGGCTCGGAAAAAACAAATGGCCACCAAACTGGACATTCTGGAGATGATCTCTTGAGTTTGAGGCCATGAGAGAGGACCAAGAGTCTAGCAGCAAAGAAGGAAGTTACGGATTTGGAAGAGCAAGTCACTGTGCTAGAGACTGGCCTCAGAGAGACAGAGCTGCAGAGCCGCATGGCACAGATGGAGCAGAGAGAGAAAGATGCAGCTTAAACTGCATGATTCAGAAAACAGAAGGAGAAGGAACACAAGAATTAAGGGACTACCTGAAAACACTGAAGGAGGAAATCCAATCTGGCATGTAAAAACGGTGGTTGAGGAATTGTTAAATTTGAGCTCTCTGAGAGAGGTGACAGTGGAGAGAGCGCATAGAGTGCTGCTCCCCTGCAGCTAAGCCTTTTAATAGACCCAGAGACCTAACTGTGAAATTTCATGGTTATCAGCAAAAAAATTTAATTATGAAAAAAGCCAGAGAACGTTCAGAACTCATACTCAAAGGCTACAAGCTGCAGTTTTCCACAATCTCTCTACCCTAACTTAAAAAAATAGGAGGTGGGGGAAATTACATCAGCACTCAGAAGGGCAGAAATCCACAACAACTGGGGATTCCCAGTCAGACTCTCTTTCAGCTTCAAAAATCAGCATTATTTAGGCTATGTCTACACTACAGACGTTACAGCGGCAGGGCACTGCAGGCAGGCAGTAACATGAAGTGGGAGGGCAAGGAAAAAGAGAAGAGTGGCTAATCCTACAAGAAGAGGAGAAGAATCAGTGGAGATAGCCAAAGTTTGGAGTCCCAGGAGGATACAGGATGACTCGCAGAAGATTGCCAGGGACGACAAGAGGAAGGCCAGAAAATCACACCAACACCAGCAAGAGGCAGGTTTATGTGATTGGTGACTCCCTACTGAGAAGAATGGACAGGCCTGTCACCAGAGCTGATCCGGAGAACAGAAGGGTGTGCTGTCTGCCGGGAGCTAAGATACGGGTTGTGGACCTAAGGCTGAAGAGTATCCTAATGGGAGCAGGAAAGAATCCACTGATTGTCCTTCATGTGGGAACAAATGATAGGGCTAGATTCTTGTTGGAAAGCATCAAGGCAGACTACGCCAGGCTGGGGAAGATGCTTAAAGAAATAGAGGCTCAGATGACCTTCAGTATGATTGTACCTGCCCCTAGACGAGGAGAGTGAAGGCAAGACAAGATTATGATGATCAACAGATGGTTCAGGCCGTGGTGGCATAAGGAGGGCTTTGGGGTGTTCAACCACTGGGAGGCATTCACAGACAGAAGACTGTTCTCATGGGATGGACTCCACCTAAGTAGGGAGGGAACTAGACTTCTGGGATGGGAGTTGGCACAACCAATTAAAAGAGCTTTAAACTAGGAATTTGGGGAGATGGTTGGGAGATGCTCATGTAATCTCCACACCTGATTCTAATACTGACTGGGAGGAAAATACAGAAAGTGAGAATGCAGCAATGGAGAAAGGAACGGCAGCGGCTATGAGAACGGACAAAAAGAGGAAAGAGTGCCAATACCAATGACACTAACTGTCGGATAGGCGATACTGGAAGTAACCTGACTGTACCTAATCAGGTGACGAATCTGGGCTAAGCCAAGCAGAAACAACTAGGATGTTTGTACACCATTGCAAGGAGCGCACTTTAGTACGTTTTTCCTGGGTGTAAAATGGAAGAACTAGCTCTACTGGTGCAGGAAATGAAACCAGATATTATAGGGGTAACAGGAACGTGGTGGAACAGTCGTCATGACAGGAACACAGGTGTCGAAGAGTGTGTGCTGTTCAGGAAAGACCGGAATAAAGGTAAAGATGGGAGCATAGCAACATAGTATATTAATGACAAGGTAGACTGTAAAGAAATTAGAAGTGAGAGAATGGATAGAACAGAGTCTGTCTGGATCAAAATCACTTTGGGGAAGAAAGCTACCTCTGAGATAGTGCTTGGGGTGATCAGGGTCTGATCTGGGTATGGAGAGAGACCTGTTTAATGTTTTTAATGAAATAAATACTACAGGGAATTGTGTGATTATGGGAGACTTTAATTTCCCAGATATAGATTGGAGAACAAATGCAATTGATAATGGTAGGGCTCAGATTTTCCTGGAGGTGATAGCCGACAGATTTCTTCAACAAATAGACACTGAACCAACGAAAAAGATGATGCCATTTTAGATTGGTTATTGGTGAATAGTTAGGACCTCATAGAGGAAATGGTTGTAGGTTGCAACCTTGGTTCAAGTGATTATGAGTTAATTCAGTTAAAACTAGATGGAAGGATAAACAAAAACAGACCTGCAACTAGGGTCCTTGATTTCAAAAGGGCAAACTTTAAAAAATAAAGGGAATTAGCTAGAGAAGTGGACTGGACTGAAGAACTCAAGGATCTGAACGTAGAGGAGGCTTGGAATTACTTTAAGACAAAGTTGTGGAAGCTATCTGAAGCCTGAATCCCAAGCAAGGGCAAAAAAATTGTAGGGAAGGGTTGCAGACCATGCTGGATGAGCAAGCATCTCAAACAGGTGATTAAGAGAAAGATGAAAGCCTCCGAGGAATGGAAGATGGGATGGGTCAGCAAAGTAAGCCATCTCTCGGAGGTCAGACAGTGTGGGGAAAAAGAGTTCTGCCAAAAGCCAATCAGAGTCGGACCTTGCAAAGGGAATTAAAACCAATAGTAAAAGGTTCTTTAGCCATATAAATCAGAAAACATGGAAAGAAGAAGTGGGACCACTAAGCACTGCGAGGAGCAATAAATACTGGGGTAGAGATTAAAGATAACCTAGGCATGTCCCAACACCTAAACAAATATTTTGCCTCAGTTTCTAATAAGGGTAATAAGAAGCTTAAGGACAGTAGCAGGGTAGCTAATGTAATGAGGGTATGGAAGTAGAAATTACCACATCCGAAGGGGAAGTCAAACTCAAATAGCTTAATAGGACCAAATTGGTGGACCTAACCAAAAGAAGGCTGAGGGGAGATATGATTGCTCTCTATAAATACATCAGAGGGATAAATACCAGGGAGGGAGAGGAATTATTGTAGTTAAGCGCCAATGTGGACACAGGAACAAATGGATATAAACTGGCCATCAACAAGTTTAGGCTTGAAATTAGGCAAAGGTTTCCAACCATCAGAGTGAAGTTCTGGAACAGCCTTCCAAGGGGAGCAGTGGGGACAAAAAACCTAACTGGCTTCAAGACTCAGCTTGATACATTTATGGAGGGGGTGGTATGATGGGACTGCCTACAATGGCACGTAGCCGATCTGTGACTGCCAGCAGCAAATATCTCCAACAGCCAGTGATGGGACACTAGAGGGGAAGAGCTCTGAATTACTACAGAGAATTTTTCCCAGGTGTCTGGCTGGTGGGTCTTGACAAAATGCTCAGGGTCCAAGTAATTGCCATATCTGGGGTCAAAAAGGAATGTTTCTCCAAGTCAGACTGGCAGAGACCTTGTGTGGGAGGGGTGAGGCGGGGGGAGGGTTGCCTTCCTCTGCAGTATGGGGCACGTCTCACTTGCAGGTTTAAACTAGTGTAAATGGTGAATTCACTGTAACTGGAAGTCTTTAAATCATGATTTGAGGATTTCAGTAACTCAGCGAGAGGTTATGGGTCTATTACAGGAGTGGATGGGTCAGGGTCTGTAGCCTGCAATGTGCAGGAGGTCAGACTAGATGATCATGATGGTCCCTTCTGGCCTTAAAGCCTATGAGGAGGGAGCAAATTATGAACATGGAAGGTTATTGGTTTCCGCAGACATTTTTTGCTTCAGCTAAAGAAAAGAAGAGAGGAGTGGGCATGATATATGTTAAACATGTACCTTTTTAGATTAAAGATCAATTTCAGGATAAAGAGGGATAGATTATCTTATTGAAGGGCACAATTGCTGGGTTATTAATAACAGTGGCTCAGTGTATGCTCCCAAGCAAAACAAAAAAACCTTCTTTAAGGACTTCTTTAAAATACAGCAATGCTTTGGGGAAGGGGAAATTATACTTGGAGGAGACTTCAGTTGCACATTGATTCTCATTGGGACAGGTGGGATAAAAAAGCCAAGGTGGATAGGGACGTAGGTGCAGCATTGACGTCTCTGTGCCTACAATTGAATCTCTCAGTTTGCTGGAGAGAATGGCACCCAGGGTACGGAATTACAT